ACCCATATGAGAGTAGGTTTATTGCAGCGTCAAACAAATGTTCAACCAAGCCATTATCGGGGTTGCTGACAAGATGTTTAACAACTATTTTAACACACTTCAAAGAATGTGCTGGTACCTACACAAACATACGGGAGTTAACTTAACTGTTTTTGGATTATTAATAATGCGCAGTTAGTCTTTGGCTAGAAGCATGGACACTTGACTTTTCCACATTGTATACAAGCATACCACATCATTCCTTGAAGAGCAGTATGAAACAATTGATAGAAGATGCCTTTAAGGTGAGAGGAGCAATGTATATCGATAACTAAGAGAGGTAAATGTTTCTGGAGTACCGACAATAATTACGAAATTAATATCAGTAAAGCTCAGCCAATAGATATGGCCTACTATCTTATTGACAATATATATGTGTCAGTAGGTACATAGGGTGTTCCGTCAATGCATAGGTGAGTGCTGCCCAGAGTGGGTGGGATAATCATGTTACGGTTCATTTTTGAATTAACTCTCGGTGGCTCAGCGACGTAGATATGTGTTTAATGGCAGATATCCATCTTTAGCGCTAGGCCCCCCGTGTTGCACATTGTGGGGTAACAGAGAGAAGGAGATACATACACACACTCCAGACATAGTACCATAACCCTCATTGCCCATGTGCAGGAAGGGTTAATTAAACTCACTGTCCAGGTCAGATTAACATTTGCTACATTCTTCAACAGAATGTCAACTGTCTGCTTGTGTCCATTCTGACAGGCCGCATAGAGTGGAGTAGCACCATTCTGAGTATAGGAGAAAGTGTGACAGAGGAGAAAGTCAAATGTGTCATAATTGTGCAGAGAGATGTCAAGAGAGAGCAGTCATACAAACCCTCATACTAGAGAAATACAAGCACGTACATCATAGGACAAAATATCATTCGGTTGTCCCTCCAATTTGTCCTATTTGTCCTATTTTTATATTACAGTGGTTTTCTATTGCCACACAGGCCCACAGGTATATTGAGTACCGTATCCCTTGCTGTGTATATATGTGTACATAATGATAAGCGACAAGCACATGATGGGGACATTCAGATCTGCTCATGGTGACAGTGGAGCAGTGAGTGGTGTAGCGAGACCAGTTCTGGCTCTCTGACTGACCGACCAAGGCAAGGAAACACTTAGAGATGTGGCAAGGTATTGACTTCAGCTGAGCCCTTAAAAAACTTTCATACCTTCTTTATTATAGCTACATCCAATTGTAAAAGCGCTAAAATCATTGGAGTCCCTGCCATTTTTCTGTTCTAATGATATGCCTGACTGCGTTATAAACCTATCAGTCAAAAGTTAGCTATATTATGTCCCCCATAGGACAAAATATCATTTGGTTGTCCCTCCAATTTGTCCTATTTTTATATTACAGTGGTTTTCTATTGCAATGCAAGGCCCACAGGTATATTGAGTACTGCAACCCTAGCTGTGTATATATGTGTGCATAATGACAAGCGACAAGCACATGTTGGGGACACTCAGATCTGCTCATGGTGACAGGTGGAGCAGTGAGTTGGTGGTAGCTAGAACAGTTCTGGCTCTCTGACTGATTGACAAGGCAAGGAAACACTTGGAGATGTGGCAAGGTATTGACTTCAGCTGAGCCATCAAAATTGTCATACCTTCTTTATTATACATCCAATTGTAAAAGTGCTAAAATCATTGGAGTCCCTGCCATTTTTCTGTTCTAATGATATGCCTGACTGCGTTATAAACCTATCAGTTAAAAGTTAGCTATATTATGTCCCACAAGAAAACTATGCCTAAATAAAGGATGCTGTATCAACATAGAAAAAACCACTAGCTGGGCTCAGGCGAACGCAAATAGACTAAAGTGCTATATTGTGCGGGCGAGGAAAGGATTCTATTAGTCGTTTTCATAGGAATAGTGTAGCAATCATGTGATGATCAGATTGTCACTATAAAGCAAGGACTTAAAAAGAATGTCCATAAGTAAACACAAACATCTACGATAATGGTATGTCATTGTCACACCTACACACAAAACCCTGAGTGACCTTTGACCCACAGTTTAAAGGGTCAGAGGTTAATTTATGGAATGCAGAAGAGAGAATAAGGTGAAGCTCTCTCACAGCCTGCAGTTTCTCATACCATTGTTCATGTAGTTGTGATGAGAGCTCCAGCTGATATCAGTTCTCCACAATCTCTGTGTGACCTTTTTCAGCAGCTCTCCCCAGAGGAGAATGAGAGAGAACCAACTTTAACAGAGAAACAGGAATCACTGTGAGTAAACAAGTCTCTCACAAGAGTACTGTTACACAAATTCAACATTGACATAATAAAGACACTGTTCACCCTCCATAGTCGACTACTGATATTGCTAGAGTTACTGGCACACACAGAAACTTGTAAAATTTCAGTTCGGTGCATGTGTGAATTATTGCATGGGTGAGGTTAAATTTCCAGGGACACCCGGGAGAAAAATTCAGTTAAACAGGAATCATTGTGAGTAAACAGTCACTCAAAAAGAGTACAGTTCAATGGCTTTTGATATACATTCAACTTTACATAATAAAGGTAAGAAAGCTACTTTTGCCACTGTTCACGCTCCATAGTGGACTTAAAGAACATTATTTAGCAAGCTAACACTAGAGTTACTGGCACACGCAGAAAATTTGTAAAATTTCAGTTCGGTGCATGTGTGAATTATTGCATGTGTGAGTTTATAATTACGTTGGACATCACAATCTCCAGCAGTTTTCCCCAGAGGAGATGAGAGAAGATCAACATTCACAAAGAAAAAGTCAGTCCAACAGGAGTAAACTAGTCAACTACGTAAACAATGCATGAATTTTTTGTGAAGGAATGTGAGAGTTACTGGCACATGCAGCAATAATTGCAAAAATTCAGTTACGTGCATGAGTGAGTATTCAGGATTGTGATAAAGATGTTCTTACATACGTACATGTACACTCTTCCTAAATGTTTTCCCACATATTAGAAGCCTACTGTACACGGATTAAAGGAGTATCTGTGCTATATTATGATAATAGAACTCATGTGTGTTCATGTCTGCAGACTCAAATGCCGACTGCAAAGAGGCTGCTCCATAGTTCGACGTCACCAAAGTACATGTAGAAGAAGCTACTGCCTGTTTCTCTAGTTTTGTTTCTGAAGGAGGAACTTCAATTACAATATTGCGTAACAAATAAGCTGCAGCATTGATAATTCCACAAAATGCTGCAATGTGATCTATGTAGCAGTTTTCCTAGGAAACTTCTCTACAGAAAGGGGGCGGGGTATCAGAGGTTTTGGTACATGTTTCTTCGCATTACTGACACACACACACACACACACCTGAATACAACCTACTACGTACAAAGCCCCTGCAGTCACCAAGCCTTGGTCTATGTGAATGTATAACGGTTTTGAAAGCTCTCACCTCCCTCTGTCAGGTTTTCTTCTTTCTCCATGTAAAGCTGGCCATACACGCGGCAACTTTGTTGCTTCAACAAAGTTGCAGCAACTTACAAAGTATTGATAAAGTGGTGCAGAACGTGTAGATGGGCCCAAGTAACTGCTTGAGAATGGATGGGTTTTGTACATTTCTGGCAACTACTGCCTGACCGTGATAAAATGCCCGTCCTGATAGACCAGCATATCAATACTTTGGAAGTTGCTGCAACGTTTGTTGAAGCAACAAAGTTGCCACATGTATGGTCTGCTTAAAAGTGTGAGCTGTTTATATAGTTTCCGTGCCTCCAAACACACAGCTGAAATTCCACACAGAGTCAACCACAGACAGTGACAGAGTAGGGTGTACAGTACATGACAATGGACTGCATGCTGGAGACACAAGACTTTGGCAATGAATGGAGGGAGGCCGTCTGAGCATTGTATTCCCACAGGACTGTGTAATAATGTCATGAGAGGGGAGAGCAATCTCACTGGAAGCTACTCTACCTTGGAATGAATGCTTGGCATCAAGCTAAGTCACCAGTTTAAAATCTTTTGTGCATGTTTCACGTGTGTATACAATCAGTACACATCAGGTATGTGCAATGGCTGCAGTGGAGAGAGCGTCTGCATTACTGGTCAGTGGAACAAGGGTCGGTGTCTTCTTTGGTTTATAATAATGAGGCCTCATACTATAGTAAAGTAAATAACAACAACCATATTTTATACTTTGAGTGGCTGCTGATACCAACCATTTCCTCTATTCAGTCGAGGAAAACTGTCCAGGAGAAGCATGTTGTTAGGTCTCTTTGGCTTGCTTGTTGTCTAGTACACATATAGATGTATGTATCAAGTAGTGATATACATGTAATATGTAAGTTGCCTAGCCATCTCTAACCCGTCACTTAAATTCTCAAGGCATATAGTGTCTTGGGTGTGTGTGTGCAAGGTATGCTGTGCTGATGAGGGCCAACAAGCCCAAAACAGCTGTCCAGAGCTCAGCATCACATGGTCTAATACCTTCATGCATGTATTATTGTTGCTTTGTGTTAGGGGATAGCTATCAACTAGCTAGGGTACTGCATGATACATAATATCTCATGCTTAAACATGGCCTCTTCTATATATGCATAATCATTCTTCCCTGTATGCATAAACATACTATTCTCCAGAACATGGATAACTGAGACGCTGTTCAGGCCTTAAAAGAGTGTCAAAGGTCTCTGTAGCTACTATTATGTACACATTATGAAGATTCATGAAGGGGGTCACTGTACATTACGGGTTCAGAGTAAAGGGAAATGGGAGGAAGGTTGCGTAACATGTTGAGAGTATAATGGAAACCTGGTAACTCTGCCAAAAAGGGTAGAGGGCTTTCCATTCACACAAAGGACGGCCAGCTCTTTGATGATAGGAATACACCCCTCCTGCTATGTACTGGACTCCTACAGCTAGCTATATTGGTGCCGGATGGAGTAATACCAGTACGTTGTGGCACGCACCTACCTGAAGGGATATATAGGTTAAGAACGACGGCACCCGATAGTAGACATGCCTGAGCAGGAAGACGGGAACAAAGGAGTGACAATAGTGGGCGGAGGTCTGGTGGGTTCATTGCTGGCCGTCTCCCTCGGGCAGCGCGGGCTCCGCGTCCACCTCCACGAGTCGCGAAGCGACATCCGCCGTGCCGCAGGAGTCAGCGGCGGGCGGAGCATCAACCTGGCGCTCAGTCGTCGCGGCAGGGAGGCCCTGAGAGCAGTGGGTCTGGAGGACGAGGTGCTCTCAACGGCCATTCCCATGCGAGCTCGAATGATCCACCCACTGAGCGGGAACCAGTACTCTATTCCCTACGGGACCAAACGAGACGACTGCATCTATTCTGTGAACAGACGAGCCCTCAACGAGCTACTCCTGACCAAGGCAGAGGAGAGCCCTAACATTTCCATTCATTTCGAGAGCCGACTCCTACAGGCTGACCTCGAAACGAACACACTGGTTTTTAGCGATGGAGCCACGGGAAAGAAGACGGTTCAGACCGAGTTTGTTTTCGGGTGCGATGGAGCCCACTCGACAGTTCGTAGACAGATGATGAGGTGGGGCCGACTCAATTATCAGCAGGAGTACATCCAGCACGGCTACAGGGAACTCACCATGCCTCCAACTCCCAGCGGGGACTTTGCCATGGAACCAAACTTCCTCCACATCTGGCCACATCACAAGTTCATGATGATCGCTCTTCCCAATCACGACAAGTCGTTCACCCTCACCCTCCTCATGCCTTGCAGCGTGTTTGAGTCGATTCGAAATGAATATAGCCTACTCGCGTTCTTTCAGGCCCATTTTCCCCATAGCATCAATAAGATTGGAGTCGAGCATCTCTATAAAGACTACTTTGCTAACCCGCAGGGAAAGATGATATCAGTCAAGTGCTCCCCACACTTCATGGCTGGAAACACTCTCATTCTTGGGGATGCAGCACATGCCGTCGTACCATTCTACGGGCAGGGGATGAATGCCGGTTTCGAAGACTGTCTCGTATTGACAGAGTGCCTGACAGAGAGTGGAGGAGAGCTGGCAGCAGCAGCTCAGTTGTACCAGGACAACCACTGGAGTGACACACACACCATCTGCGACCTCTCCATGTACAACTACATCGAGATGCGCTCCCACGTCACCTCGCCCCTGTTCTTAATCAGGAAAAGGATTGACAATGCCCTCCACTATCTCTTCCCGTCTCTCTTTATCCCTCTCTATTCAATGGTGGCCTTCACACGTATCCCCTACCGTCGTGTGGTGGAGAGACACAACGTTCAACAGACGGTCATCAGACGAGGGCTGTGGGGCCTGTCCCTTGCCTCTCTGGGGCTACTGGGCTACCTGATCTTCAAGTTTTCTGGAATGGAAGTTGCACTTCGTCACCGCATTCTTCCCTGCGTCTTCAAATGTGTTGTTAATAACTACCTCCGACACTAGTTATTGCTGCCATAGATTTAGTGTATTTCCACTGGTATTATTGACCTTAAACATGCGTGTGCAGCGAGGGGTTTTGTCTGTCTGTCCATCCTGTGTGTCGGAGGAACACTCCATTTGACCTTATCATAAGCTGCATCCATGCACAGACTTCAATGACACTATAAACTTAGAACATTTTCCCATTCACTGCTTCACAAGCTGAGGGCAGCTCACCACAACACAGTTGACCCAAAGTAACTTTATTCCAAGGTGCATGGAAAAGTGCCAAGGTTAGCTAGCTAGCTGCCCTAACCAGTATTCTCAAAAAATGTAATACTGATAAGCACTACTGAGGCCCTGGCATCTAGCTAGTTGGCCACTTCGTAGCCTATAGTGTAAGCAGTTACATACAGACATGTGCGTGCACATGTCTGTCCTAGAGTAACAAACCTACTTCCCCCTTAGGATCCACACCTATGACATCCCCCCTAAATACCTCACTGTGCTTTGTAGAACTATAGGATTAGCATTCCCCCAGAGAGCCTAAGGTGTCAATACAATTTTGTAAGTGGTAGATTTTACATAAGAGTCGGTGACATTGGGTAGAGTTGGGGTGCCATACAAAGATCTTTTAACCCACCATCCCCAGCTCTCAAGGCTAGGCATGTGTGTCCTACTCTTGAGCTTGTATGCGTATGTAGTACACACATGCATTCTGTTCCTCTCTAACATTAGCGCCTTGCTTAGCTGCCATGCGTCCTATGTCCCCTACTATTTCTGCAACTTATGTAGTCAAGACAGAAACCCTATACTATACTCTTCTAGTAGAAAGAGGTGGGTCAACAGTTAATGACGCATACACTTCGTACCACTAGGCAGCCATATGCGGTGAGGTTGGCACACACCTCCCAAACTCTAGGACTATCCATCCTCCAATACCCAACACACACACACACTGTAACATTCTTTGAACATGCGTGTAAATAGTTAATTTACATGGTGGTTTTATTAGCATCTACCTCTGTGGCAAGCGCATCTAGCATGCAAATCTCTGATATCATGGTGTACCAAAATCGAAACCATAGAGTACAGTTTGTATACTAACTACGCTGACATACAAAAATAAGCAACAACACAGTATTTAAAAGCTGTAAAAAGGAGGGAATAGACAATTCAGTAAGACTGGTATGTAGTACAGTAAAGAGATAAGCTACAGTGTTAATTAGAGTGTTCTTTCCTTTAAATATTGTAGCTACTCCTGTAAAAGATAAGTTGCTGATAACCTATATGTAGTAGCTATAGAACTAGGCTACAGTGTTAGAAGAAGCAGAGTCGAGAGACGTAGTTTAAACTTTGTACTGCTGTAGAAGTTTGACTATTTGCTGATGACCTTCGGCTCTTGCGAAACTCATGGCTGTACGTCCATCCTGAGAGGTGAGGGAAAATTACACTCATTGACTAAATGAGAGACAGTCACACATTATTGCAGCACTAAACCCTCGATGCAAATGGGTGCTGACGTCAGCAGTCTAGCCTGCAGTAGGTGCACTCTACACATGTGCCGAGAGACAGCACTGCTAATTGATGGGCGTGGCCATGCTGGGTAGGCACACAGCAGAGTCACACACAACCACATGACAATCCCTCTAATATTATGTTCAGCACTCAAACAAAGATGTGACTATTAAAGTTGGTATAGCCTCTTTACCTTATAAGGTAGATCTTTAGCTCCAGATTCTAGCAGGAGTCTAACTACTTCCAGGTGCCCTTTGTAACTGGCCATAATGAGTGGAGTTGCTCCATCCTAAAGAGAGGAAGATAGAAAACATTAAACATCCATCTCCATAATACACCATACAAAGAAATGACACGTGACAAGCACATGATGGGGCACAAAGATCTGCTCATGGTGACAGGTGGAGCAGTGAGTTGGTGTAGTGACTCCAGTTCTGGCTCTCTGACTGATTAACGAAACAGTTCAGATGTTGCAGGAAATTGAGAGGTTTCAGCCAATGAAGTGCTACCCTGTTGGTATCTTAATTATGTCTCAGAGAGTCTGCATAATATATCAATTTTCAGCCTGTACCCAACCAAAGTTTGGAGTTGGTGGTTTCAGACGGCTCCGTTCTCAAGACCCACGTTGCTGACCCTACAGCTCAATGGAAACGACATACCTGTAGATGTGGCTATAGTTAGTCCTCTCACCACAGAAAGAATACTAGGGCTGGACTTCCTTGAGAGCCAGAAAGCCTCCACCAAACTAAAAACTGAGGAGTTACTCTTACGGGCTGAGGGAATTACCCTACTTTTGCAACAATCTACCCAGTTACCAACTTGTACGGTGAAGATTAAAGCGAAGGTACAAAGGAACATTTCAGTTCCAGCCTAGAGGTGATGGCCAATCTGGAGGATCCAGTAGCGCCAGGCCAAACTTGGGCACTCGAAAAGGCCAGCACCGAGCCAAAACCCGAACTTGCAATCAGGTCTCTTTACAATGCCCCACACACAACTTCAAAGGGGTGTGTGGGGCATTGTCACCTCAATTCTTAATATCCTGGCTCCCCTCACTTTACAGAGGGAGACTGGGTACAACACCACCTCTCCCCCGTGCTCTGTGTGTCCACGACCTAAATCCCACTGCCATGTACTTTCTGAAACACAAGGAAAATTGTATCATATCCTTGAAAATTTCCCCTATGAAGGTATATTGCTGGCATCATCTATACATGGAAGACCTTCATTGACAGCATACTGCTGTGTCGACAGTGTCCAAGTAACTTCGTATCAAAATTTGTGTGATTTTGTTGCATTTTATTCTTTCCCTGAGAAGTAGAATTAATCTAGTCTAAGTTGTGAAAGCTTTTGTCCCTAAGTCCTTTACAAAAAAAGTTCCTTACAAAATTTGTACAGGTCTTTCAAAAAGACAGTGCCAGCCGTAGTGAATGCAGCTTGGCTTGGATGTAGACTTAAAATCTGCACAGTACACATGACGATGGATGTTGCTCTCCTTGGCTAGGGTGACACCATCGCTCTATAGCAGCCGTAAGCAGAAAGAAAACAAAGAGTGAATATGCAATGAGATGCACAGGAAGTGCAGTACTCACACCTACAGAACTACTTCTGCTGGAAATATAAAAACTACGTGTATAATACATTTCTGGTTCTGTTGGCGGCCTGACCAATACTGAAAGGCAACACAGGAGCCCATATTCACCTTTCATGGAACGTCTGATGCTTTCATGGTGAATGATACGGCAGAGTCTAGTCAAGGCAGCTCCTTTTAATGAGTGTTTATTTGCTATTGTGTCATAACAGTTGCGTGGTCAATGGCCAATTGGAGTTAGCCATCTGTATCGTTAAATCTGTTGGTATCACTTTTAGTCCCGCACTCAAGACCAAGTAAATAAAAAATTCTTTGACTTAAAGAAATGGTGAACATAGGGATGGTAAAGAAAGCAACGAGACATGACAGGGATGACCTAGGGTGAATGTGATGCAGTAGTACAATGGATGATGACTACATACTTCTAACAGACATCGCTTGCTCGTGTAAAATTTCCTCCACACAAGCCCTATATTGTCGCGAAGTATAAGTGTGCTCCCTTGTATGATGCACAACTATGATTTATTTCATAAGCACATTAGACAGGTAATAGCATCTGCTCGGTTTTCAGTTGTGACTGCATTGTGTGAAGTCTAAGACTGACAATGTGGTGACTAGATCACTGGGCATAATGCAGTGTTGCAGCCAGACATGAACTGTGCAGTTTCTGTACACAACTGTTAGACTCCTACGCTACCATATATACCCTGTCCAGTGTTCTCTTTGCACAATGCAGTGATCACATGCTGCCTTGAAGGGCTCTGTAAGTTACGCATGAATACATAAACCCTCGTTCCTCGACTCACTCTACAAAAGCGAGGATACTTTCATATGAAGGTATTAGACCATGTGATGCCAAGAGAAAAAAGATGCGGAGCTCTGGACAGCTGTTTCGCAGCAGAGCATACCCCAACTTCTCTCTCTGGCATCACGAGTTTATAAAGGCTACCAGGAGCGCAGCACTTGTGGTTCTGAGCTAATGAGATTCATCCCCACAAGGTTTTGTCACTGGTATGTGCTGCTGACCATGGCCACACATTCGTGGTTTGGAGCCTAGGACCCTCCCCACTCCTGCTGGTCAAGGCCAGCACCGAGCCAAAACCCGAACTCGCAAACGAACCAAGCCACATGCACGTGATGAAACTTTGTAAAACAACACGTAATTTAAGCAATGACACAAGTCAAGGCAGCACCTTGTAATGAGTGTTTACTTGCTATTGTGTCATAACAGTTGCGTGGTCAATGACTAATTGGAGTTAGCCATCTGTAGTGGTAAATCTGTTAGACTGGTAATACCCTCTCCTCGGCTTTCATTTGTGACTGCATTGTGTGAAGTCTAAGACTTCCACATTTGCTCAACTAACCAGTTTTACAATGCTGCGTTCTTAGCCATCTACAGAATCCCTTCACCATTGTCCTCACACTTTACACCATTCACTAATGTCAGTGAGTAGAGGTGGTGACATAATAGGGCTGTGTACGCATGTGTCACTCGTGGCCACCGTGTTGCACATTGTGGGGTAACAGAGAGAAGGAGATACATACACACACTCCAGACATAGTACAATAACCCTCTCTGTCTATGTGCACAAAGGGTTAATTAAACTCACGGTCTCGGTCAGATTAACATTTACTCCATTCTTCAACAGAACATCAACTGTCTGCTTGTGTCCATTCTGACAGGCCAAATAGAGTGGAGTAAAACCATCCTAAGTATAGGAGAAAGTGTGACAGAGAGATATGCAGGAGAAAGTCAAATGTGACATAATTGTGCAGAGAGATATCAAGAGAGAGCAGTCATACAAACCCTCATACAAGAGAAATACAAGCACGTACATAACAGGACAGAATTATGTTCTGTTCTCCCTCCTGTTCTTAGTGGCTTTCTGTTGCAATGCAAGTCCTGTACTTGAGCACC